AATACGGCTAGCAGCTCACTTCTCAACAGAAACACTACAAGCCAGAAGGGAATGCCAAGAAATAGTCCAAGAAACGAAAAGCAAAGGCATGCAACCAAGACTTCTCTACCTAACAAGGCTCTCAATTAAAATGGATGGTGAAATAAGGAGTTTCCCAGACAAAAGGCTAAAAGAATACACCTCCACCAAACCAGCACTGCAAAATATGCTAAAGGGACTGCTTTAAGAAGATGAAGAGTCTGTGAATACCCAGTTCCTTCCACAGTCACCAATACTTGATATTACCAATATTTTTAATACTTATTAATCTGATTGTGATAATGGCGTGTTATTCTGTTGCTTTATTATTTGTTGAAATTAAACCTGTTTTTGTATACTTTTTGTCTATTTCTATTATTTTTTAGAAAAGCTTTAAATGACTTTTTGGTATTCTTTATCCATTTTTTGATTAAATGTTTGCAGAATTTTTCCCCTAAAAAAAAAAAAAAAAAAAAAAGCCAAAAGAACAACAACAAGAAAACTATTAACCCTTTTATAGATGTGTTGCAAATATTTTCCTATTCTGTTGCTTGTCCTTTAAATTTTTTTACATGAATATTACTGTATAGTCTTAAATGTTTAATATAGTCCTATTGTCAAGATTTTACTTTATGGCTTCTGGGTTTGAATATGTTACTTCTGAGTATAACATATTATTTTGTATTTTCCCCTAAAACTCCTTAGATCCTACATATTGATTTTAACTCACCTGAATATTTCTTGTATAATGTGTGAAATAGGGCTCTACATTTATTTCAAGTAACAGTGATCCATGCACCTTATATGTTGAATAAGCCTTACTTTCCCCATTGATTTGATATATCAATTTAATCATATTATTACATTGTTAGAAAGATATATACATATGTTTCTAGAATGCTCATTGTATTTCACTGATCTAGTTGATTATTTCTGTGCAGGTGTCATGATTGCTGAGATTTTATAATGGGTTTACATTTTTAAATATTTTCTAATGGATCTTGACATTTAAAAAAATAAATAAATTCAATCTGCATTAAGAACAAAAGAAAGAAGGAACTCCTACTTTTTGCAACGACATGGATGGAAGTGGAGAATATTATGCTAAGTGAAATCAGCCAGTCGGTGAAAGACAAATACCATATGATCTCACCTACAAGAGGAATCAATACAACAAAATAAACTAACAAACAAAATAAACCACAGGCAAGGAAACATGGAGCTGACTGAAAGTGACCAGAAGGGATGGGGAAGGAGGACAATGGTGGAAAGGAGGAGAAGGGAATAAACAAAGAACATGAATGCATGATCCATGGACATAGACAAAAGAATGGCCACTCACTGTGGGAGAGAGGGGTGGGGTGGGATGGGTAGAGGAGTGCAAATGGAGAAAAACTGAGACAGCTGTAATAGAATAAATATGATTTAAAAATAAAATTAAAAAAAGAAAGAACAAAGAATTGGAAAAGGAGAATTGCAAAAAAATTGTTAGAGCTAAAAAATTATTCAAGGTTACAGGATACAAAATCAGCACACCAAAGATATGAAAGATAAAAAAAGATCTAAAAGGCACCCACATAGAAAATACAATTATTTCTTTTTGAAAAATCTTCATCTGAGGACATGTTTATTGATGAGAGAGAGAAAGAGAGAGAGAGAGAGAGAGAGAGAGAGAGAGAGAGAGAGAAATTGATGTGAGAGAAAACTAAGTCAGTTGCCACCTTATGTGCCCCGAACTGAGATTGAACCCACAACCTTTTTTGGAATACTGGTTAACTCTCCAACTAACTGAGTCACCCAGCCAGGGTATAAAAGTAAAATTATTTATGTTCATAGGAGACATGATTTTATATGCAGAAAATCTTAAGAAATTCACAAAAATCCATTACAGTTAATATATTAAAGTTACAGTATATAAAATTGACACACAAAAATGAGTTGTATTTCTATGCACCAGCAATGTGTGAAGTGTTCTAAAGCTGCCTGTTAGGTCTAGTTCATTTACAGTGTTGCTTTAGTCTTCTGTTTCATTTTCAGTCTTCTGCTTACTTTTTTATCTAATAAAAGTGGTACTGAAGTTTCCCAATATTATTATTAATTTACTCATTTTCCCCTTCTTTTCTATCAGTTTTTGCTTCATGTATTTTGGAGCTCTGTTATTAGGTGCATAAATTTATATCTTGCTGATGGACTGATCTTTTTCTCATGACAAAATGTCTCTACTTATCTCTAGTAAATTTTTTTGTTTTAAAGTGTATTTTATTTGATATTAATATAGCTACTTCAGTTTTCTTGTGGTTTTTGTTTGTACAATGTATCTTTTACTATCTTTTTATTTTCTATTTGTATCCTTGTATCTGAACAGTATCTCCTCTTAATAGTATATAAATTGGATTTTTTTCTTGTTTATTTTTTAAATTATATTTTAATTTATTTTTTCAAATACATTTGTCTCTGCCTACCCCCCACCACTTTCCCTTGCCCCCTCTCTCCTTCCCTCCCTCAGCTCTTCCCCTTTGGTTTTGTCCATGAGTCCTTGCTTTATGTTCCTTGACTTTCCCCTTCCCTTCCTTTTCCCTGCCCTCCCTCCCTCCCTCCTTCCCTCTTGTCTCTGTTGATTTCTTTTCCTTTCAGTGTTGCTGGTCTTATTTTCCTTGCATCTCTGTATTGTTGGTTAGGTTCCGCTTATAGGTGAGATCATATGGTATTTGTCTTTCACCCCCTGGCTTATTTCACTTAGCATAATGCTCTCCAGTTCCTTCCATGCTGTAGCAAAGGGTAGTAACTCTTTCTTTCTTTCTGCTGCGTAATATTCTGTTGTGTAAATGTACCATAGTTTTTTGATTCACTCATTTAGGTTAGGTTGCTTCCAGCACTTGGCCATTGTAAACTGTGCTGGTATGAACACTGGGGTGCATAGGTTCTTTCAGTTAAAAGGAGAAAATATAAACATTTATATAATCTTTTTTAAAGTTACATAATTACCTTTACTGGTATTCTTTGTGTGGATTCAAATTATTGTCTGGAATCATTTGCTTTCTCTGAAAAGCTTCCTTTCATATTTCTTGTAAGGCAAGTCTATTAGCAACAAATTCTCTTATCTGTCATGTGGGAAAGTCTCTTATTTCACCTTGAATTTTGAAAGATAGCTTTGTTGAAAATAGGATCTTGGCTGACAGTCTTTTTCTTTGAGCAATTTAAATATGCTATTCCACTGCCTTCTGTCCTCTATTATTTCTACTGAGTCAGCCATTATCTTAAGTGGGTCCCTAGTAAGAAGTAAGTAATTTTTTTTTTGGCTGTTTTCAACATTTCTCCTTGTCTTTGATTTCAATATTTTTACTAGGATGTGTCTGTTGGTGGATCTCTTTATGTTTATCCTGCTCGGAGTTGTTGACCTTGCTGGATATATATAAATCAGTGTTAGTCAATAAATTTTAGAATTTTTCAGCTGCTATTTCTTCAAATATTTTTTTTCTGCTTCTTTCTCCTCTCCACCTGGCACTCCCATTAGGCATATGTTGGTGTATACTTAATGGTGTTCTGCATTTTTCTGAGACTTCATTTTTCTTCATTCTCTTTCTTCTCATTTCTTTAGATTGCATAATCTTTATCAATATGTCTTTACATTCACTGGTACTCTTTTCTGACATTTCTAATCTACAATTGAGCTACTTTAGTGAAATTTTCATTTCAGTTTTTCCAGAATTTCTATTTGGTTCTTTCTAAATAATTTCTATCATTTATTTGATATTCTTTATTTGATGTGACATTATCATTATAATTTCTTTTACTTCATTAATAATGATTTTCTTCTCTGAGGATATTCATAATGAGTATTTTTAATTTTTTTTCTGCTCAGTCTGAGGTCTGGATGTACTCACAAGCAGTTTCTGTTGACTGTTTGGTCTAGTGGAGCAATAGTTTCCTGTTTCTGCATGTCTCACTTTTCTTTTTTTTTTAAACTGGACATTTGACATAATGTATGGTAGCCATCTTGGGAACTAGCCTCCCCCTCACCATAGGGCTTGCTATTTGCTTGTTTACTTGTTTAGTGATTGGCTGGGTTGTTTTAGTTGGTTCCTGTGATGTTATTTCTCAGGGAAGCACAGCTTTGGGAATGCCCAGTCATGGGGCTGATATTAGTTTAGTGCTCTCTTGGCCTCTTCCCTTGACCACATCAAGGTGTTAAGCTCCACTAACTGCCAGTTGACTGCTTGTTGTTTTCAAGAATGCTCTGGGACATAAATTGCTCTAGATTATAATATAATCAAATTTGGAGTCCAAGCACCTTGTCTTAGACCATTTTCCCTGTTCCATATTATAGCTATTCAGAGGGCACTACTTCCATCACACTTCAAGCAGTGTCAGGAAGCCATGAAATTTTTATAGAACACTCCTGCAGTATGAGACCCAGAGCATGGGGTTTTAATGACTCTCTGCCAAGTAAAAGTGACTAGTTTAGATAATAAAATGAAGAATTTCTGATATCATTTGAAATAATGAAGAGTTGGAAGTTTATGTTATTATAGCTTTTGGATTTTTCCTTCTTGTTCTATTTTTTTCAGGTCATTTTCTTTTAACGGATGGCATCATGACTCTATTATGTGACCCTCCTAATTGCTCTAGTTTCATTTTTTTTTTTTGCCCAATTTAAAACTTTAGTACCACCAAACACTGGTGGTTAATATGCTGGATAAAATAATCATTCTATTAACAATTCATCTGGTGACATTAAAAACTTAACTATTTTTCCTCTTTCTCTTTAGAAAAATTCACATACAAAACAACTATTTCTTTGATAAATACATAAGTATAAAAGTTTAACTGTACTTTGATTGAAACATTTAAACAATAAGTAAATGCATGGCATGAAGAATGATGATAATTAAAATGAAGAAAACCTGTGTACAAATTCTGAAAAACAGAGGTTTTTCAGCTCCAATATTTGTTTTTTTTTAAGTTATAAAGAAAAAACTCACGTTCCACATGTTCAAACATTACTGAAAAGAGAAAGTCTCGTGGTGTCATGTAATATTCTCCTTCATGTTCCAGTGAAGAAAACTGCATGAAGCGCTGTTTACGAGGAGACTTCTCCATCATCTTTCCACAGTCAGCATTTTCCTAACAGAAAAACAAAATAGCAATGTAAAATTTCTTTCAGCATTATTTCCCAACTCAGATCATTCTAGAATAATTTTATAATTAATGAATAAATGTGCAATAATGTAAGAGAGTGAGAAGTGCCAAGAAGAAATACAAAGTAGGATAAGAAACTGCTAAGAAATGTTTTATACTGGAGAGTTAGGAAAGGCTTTTTTTTTTTTTTTTTTTTACAGATGAACAAATTTTAATGATGCACTAAGCTTGCTTTTAGGTCAGTGTTTTTTAGTGTGATCTGTAAACCATGATTATCAGAACTGCATGGGACATTTGTTGAACATGCAGATTTTGGGACTCCACCCCAGACTTACTGAGTCAGAATCTCTGGAGGTGGGGGTCCAGAAATCTCTCTGTTTAATGCATATTCCTATTCTGATAACCACTGCTCAACAATTTATGTAGTTTTGCCTCATTTTGTTTGTTTGTTTATTTATTTTTCTCCCCCCCCCCCCCCCACTTTCCCTTGCCCTCTCCCTCTTTCCCTCCCTCAGCTCTTCCCCTTTGGTTTTGTCCATGAGTCCTTGCTATATGTTCCTTGACTTTCCCTTTCCCTTCCCTTTCCCTGCCCCCACCTTCCCTCTTGTCTCTGTTGATTTCTTTTCCTTTCAGTGTTGCTGGTCATATTTTCCTTGCATCTTTGTATTGTTGGTTAGGTTCCGCTTATAGGTGAGATCATATGGTATTTGTCTTTCACCCCGTGGCTTATTGCGCTTAGCATAATGCTCTCCAGTTCCATCCATGCTGTCGCGAAGATTAGTAGTTCTTTTTTTCTTTCTGCTGCGTAGTATTCCATTGTGTATATGTACCACAATTTTTTGATCCAATCATCTACTGATGGGCATTTAGGTTGCTTCCAACACTTGTCTTGTCTATTGTAAATTGTGCTGCTATGAACATTGGGGTGCATAGGTTCTTTTGTATTGGCATTTTGGTGTTCTTAGGGTATAGTCCCAGCAGGGGAATCACTGGATCAAAAGGCAGTTCCATTTTCAGCTTTTCAAGGAAATTCCACACTGCTTTCCATAGTGGCTGCACCAGTCTGCATTCTCACCAACAGTGTACTAGGGTTCCCTTTTCTCCACGGCCTCGCCAGCACCTGTTGTTTGTTGATCTGTTTATGATGGCCATTCTGACTGGTGTGAGATGGTACCTCATTGTGGTTTTGATCTGCATTTCTCTGATGGCTAGTGATGCTGAGCATCCTTTCAAATGCCTCTGGGACCTCTGTATCTCCTCCTTGGAAAAGTGTCTGTCCAGGTCCTTTGCCCATTTTTTGATTGGATCGTTTGTCTTCTTGGAGTGGAGTTGAGTGAGTTCTTTATATATCTTGGAGATCAAACCTCTATCTGATATATCATTAGCGAATATATTTTCCCATATGGTTGGCTCCCTTTTCATTTTGCTGATGTTTTCTTTTGCCGTGCAGAAGCTTCTTATTTTGATGAGGTCCCACTTGTTTATTCTTTCTTTTATGTCCCTTGCTTTAGGAGATATATCAGTGAAAAAATTGCTGCATGGCATATCTGAGAGTTTCCTGCCAATGTTCTCCTCTAAGACTTTGATGGTGTTGCGACTTATATTTAAGTCTTTTATCCATCTTGAGTTTATTTTTGTGTATGGTATCAGCTGCTGATCCAATTTCAATTTTTTGCATGTAGCCATCCAGCTCTCCCAACATCTTTTGTTGAAGAGGCTATTATTGCTCCATTTTATGCTTCTGCCCCCTTTGTCAAATATTAGATGTCCATAGAGACCTAGGCTTATTTCTGGGCTTTCTATTCTGTTCCACTGGTCTATGGGTCTGTTCTTGTGCCAGTACCAAATTGTTTTGAGTAGAATGGCTTTGTAGTAGAGTTTGATGTCCGGTATTGTGATCCCTCCTACTTTGTGTTTCTTTCTCAAAATTGCCGTGGCTATTCGGGGTCGTTTATGGTTCCATATAAATTTTTGAAATGTCTGTTCTATTTCTGTGAAATACGTAATTGGTATCTTAATAGGGATTGTGTTGAATCTATAAATTGCTTTGGGTAGTATGGAAATCTTGATATTAATTCTTCCAATCCATGAGCGCAGTATATGCTTCCATTTATTTGTGTTTTCCTTAATTTCTTTCTTCAATGTTGTATAGTTTTCTGCATACAGGTCTTTTACGTCTTTGGTTAAATTTATTCCTAGGTACTTTATTTTTCTTCTTGCTATATCAAATGGTATTTTTTCTCTGATTTCTTCTTCTTCTATCGCATTGATGGTGTACAAAAATGCCTTTGATTTCTGAATGTTGACTTTGTATCCTGCTGTTTTGCCAAATTTACTTATTAGGTTGAGGAGTTTTTTGGTAGAGTCTACAGGGTTCTCTATGTACACTACTATCATGTCATCTGCAAACAATGATAGCTTAGCTTCCTCAGGAAAGGCCTTTTTAAAGAGGTGACATTATGGAGACTAAATGAGGTGCAGCTACTGAGCTGTGGGGCTCTCAAAAAGAAAAGCATGCCAAGCAAGAGGTAAAGATGGGAATAAGCTTTATGTGTTCAAGGAACAGTATGGCAGAAGATTAGAGACTGGTGGGCAAAGATCATGTAAGGCTGTACTTTCATAAAGATATAAAAATATATTTCATAAAAATATAGCATATTTGGTAAACAGCTCTTCTTTGAAAGATATATTTATGTTATGGATGAGAAGTATGAAAATACAAAAATGCGTAAAATATTGCTAGTGTAGGAGTCTGCAGCCCAGGCAACAGGATCTAGATCTTGACCCAAATGCTGATAGAGACAATGTTGAAATACTTATTGCTAACCTTTCATCGAGCACTTAGTATATGCCAAGCATTGTATTAATAATTTTACATGAATTATTTAGTTAATCCTCACAGTAACTGAACAATAGATACTACATTAGATATGAAAGCTAAAACTAAATGGCACAGTCAGGATAAATCTCTCAACTAGCATATTATCCTCCTATTAATGGCTGGGCATTGTGTCCCAGGCAGAATGGATGAAGATGACACACTAGTTAACACAGATACCAAGGTCAGTGTAATAACCTTAACACAGAACATGTCAGCTGTGAAATCCAAGAGCACACTTCACCTTAGATACGAGGTCTGTCCAGAAGGTATCCAGTCATGTAATATGAAAATTAGAGACATTTATTGAAGGTACAAGAAACAAGAAACATTGTAAATAGGACAATGATGCCTAAGTCCCCTGGGACCTAATACAGTTCTCCCAATCACCATCAGTTGCCCTGTTGTATTTTCCTTAATCTCATCGACAATCTGAAACCTCTTTCTTTTCAAAGGTGATTTTAGTTTTGGGAAAAGTCTTTAAGGCACAGGGTGCCAAATATGGGCTGTAGGGGGTGTTGAGTCACCTGGTGATTTGATGTTTTGCCAAAAAAATCTGCAAGAGATGCTATGCAGAAGTGGGAGCATTGTTATGATGAAGTTGCCAATCACCAGGTGCCCATAGCTGCAGCCTTCGGAAGCTAATCATCTGAATAACTTCCATGGAGGAATGTTCAAGCTTAACATAAATGGGATTTATTTTCCTACTTTCTGATTCTGATATTTCCTTGTACAAAAATGCCTTCGATTTCTGAATATAGACTTTGTATTCCACTTTTTTGCCAAATTCATTCATTACGTCAAGAAGTTTTTTTGGTGGAGTCTATAGGGTTTACTATGTTCACTATCATGTCATCTACAGACAATGACAGTTTTACTTCCTCCTTTCCAATTTGGATGCCTTTTATTTCTTTTTCTTGTCTGATCGCTGTGGCTAGGATTTCCAATACTGTGTTGAATAGAAGTGGTGAAAGCAGACATCCTTGACTTCTTCCTGATCTTAGTGGGAAAGCTTTTAGTTTTTGCCCACTGAGTATGTTTACTGTAGTTTTCTTGTGTGTGGTCTTTACTTTGTTGAGGTATGCTCCTTCTACTCCCACTTTACACAGAGTGTTCCTATCATAAATGGGGGCTGTACCTTATCAAATGCTTTTTCAGCATCTATTGAGACGATCATGTGATTTTTGTGTTTCCTTTTTTTAATGTATTACATTTATTGATTTGTGTATACTGTAACATCCTTGCATCCCTGGGATGAATCATACTTGATCACAGTGTATGATCTTTTTAATGTATTGCTGGATGCAATTTGCCAATAATTTGTTGAGGATTTCAGCATCTGTGTTCATCAGCAATACTGGCCTGTAGTTTTCTTTCTTTGTTGTGTCCTTATCTGGTTTTGGAATTAGGATGATGCTGGCCTCATAGAAAGAATTTGGGAGTATTCCCTCTTTTTGGATTTTTTGGAGTAGTCTGAGAAGCACAGGGGTTGGCTCTCCCTTAAATGTTTTGTAAAATTTGCCTTTGAAAGCATCTGGTCCAGGTCTTTTGTGCACGGGGTGTTTTTTTTTAATGATTGCTTCAATTTCACCAGCTGTTATTGGTCTGTTCAGGCTTTTTCCTTTTTCTTGATTCAGTTTTGGGAGATTACATTTTTCTAAAAATTTGTCCATTTCACCCAGGATTTCAGAATTCTTGGCATATAGTTGTTCATAGTAACTTCTACAATCCTTTGTATTTCTGTGGTATCAGCTGTAATCTCTCCTCTTTCATTTCTGATTTTATTTGAATCCTCTTTTTTTTTTTCGACAAGTCTGGTTAAAGGCTTGTTGATTTTTCTTTTTTATCTCTTCAAAGAACCAGTTCCTGGATTTATTGATCCTTTGAATTGTTATTTTAGTCTCTATGTCATTTAATTCTTCTCTGATCTTTCCTTCCTTCTAACTTGCTCTGGGCTTTGTTGTTGTTCCTCTAGTTCTTGTAGATGTAGCTAGCATTAGGCCGTTTATTTGAAATGTTTCTATCTTTTTTAGGTTGCTATGAACTTCCCTCTCAGGACTGCCTTCACTGTGTCCCATAGGTTTTAAACTGTTGTGTGTTCATTTTC